GGGGGGGAATTCGTATAAAATACGTATATTTTCGCAAAAAAATGTATTGGCGAATATTTACGGTCGGAATTTGAGAAAATTTTATCTTAACAAAGAAGAAAATGGTATTATAGGTATCTGCTCATGTAAGAAATACGAGATGACCTAACAAGGTAAAAAGGGAGGCATGATAATAATATCAATAATAATGTTATCAAAGGAAGGTCCTGAGCCATTGGAAATAAACGAATGTATGAGAAAAAAATATTGTGGTTGATGGAAGAAAAATCGGAAGTGAAGGTTAGAATGGAAATTCCCAAGGGAGTGAAAAAAAAATAAATAAAACTGTCCGAGTGGGGAGAGTGGCTAAAGCTTCTAAAGCCATAGTAGCAGCATTCTGCCAAGAAACTTCCGGCTTATCCACCGTTGTGTTCCTTAATATCCGCGGCCTTACGCCAGTCAATGAATTTTTCGGTAGGTATACGCAGAGTCGACTCCCCCCCACCCATCCCAACCCATTCTGTAGACACTCACTTCCGCCCCTATAAGAAGCAAAAGTTTGGGATATCCATTATAATTGTGTAATTAATATGCGTTAATATTTATTGATTACCGTAGCGTCTTACGTGTTTATAAATTTTACCTTAATTTTCAAAATTATTGAATCACTTTAACTGAATTGTAATGTCCATTCGGTAAACTCGTGGGTAAGAGTAAGTGTTATATCTTTATGGGCCTTAGATAAAATGAAAACAGCCGCAATAAGATCAAAAAAAATTTTTTAATATAATCTTTGTGTATATTATTCGTCTTAAAGCAGATACGACAAAAAAACTCTATATGGAACTAGGAGTATACTTTTGTTTTTCTTCTCTGTTTTCTATTCGTATTACTTTACTTTTCCTTTCAAACCCTAAATCCTAAAGCAAAAAGTTTGTTCTTTGAAAATTTTAAATCTTATGGGAAAGGGGGCGGGGAACTAAAAACGAAAACAAAAGTCCCCGTGTATGTATACGTATGCGCTGGAGCTATAACTACTATGTCTTATACTGGTAGAGTATTTGAATTCACGAGAAAAGTGCCACGCGGCGCTGGTAACGTTAATCTCTTGAGACGTGACTGGATTTCACGGTACTCTTTTTTATTTTAAAAAAATTTTTTTTCTTTTCATAACATTTTTGACGGAAATTTTCTGATTATTTTCGCGGGCTTAGCGAGAAACTTTCAAATCATAAGAGTGTTCATGAAATTGATTTATGAGGAGCTGTTATATTTTCTTGAAATCGTATTAAATTTTGGAATTTATTGTATTTTCAAAATGACATAAGATATATGAATGTAATATATTGAAAAATGATATTAACCCTTTGACATAGGGTGTCTCATCATTTTCCGCGCGGTCGTCAATCTTTTTAACTAATTTCATGGCATCAAATATCGGACTTCTTGTTTTCATCATGTTCCCAGAACATGAAAAAGTCTAATAAAACTGTAATTACTTAATCAGCCATCCATATTAATTTGAAAAGGTATTATAAATGAAGAAACGTGAAAATAGGTGATTTACATTGAAATAAAATCATTTTTGATTCAACTATCAACAAAATCAAAACGACGATTTAGATATTGTACTTATACAGGATACCCTGAAGTATATTTCAGAATTTGTTTGACTTTTTTGGCAAATTGGATTTTTTTTGTATAAATTAGTTTTCAAAAACATAAAGATATTTCTTTTGTAAATGAATGAATATCAAATTTTAAATACGGCTAATCAAATTATGTTTAGGGTGGTTCGTTCACGAAGAGTTTGCCGGATTCGAAAGCAGATTGGATAATTGGTTTAAAAATAATAAAGTCAATTTGCAATAATGTTTTCTTAAGGTACTTGATCGTTTTTTCGAAACCGGATTATTTGATAGAGTCTCTTCCAAACGAATTAATAATTCATTTACAAATTAGTTCCTGAGTACATTGTTTGATATTAAATTGAACTAATTATTCATTACAACGGAATTCCGACCAATACTAATATTGATTAACCGTCAAGATGCGTTATTACGTTATTTAATTATGTAATTTCATTTGACCATACAGGATGTCAATGTATTTATATAGAGTATCCAGAGTTTATTTATTTTTAGCTGCTCGCCAAGCAAATTTTTCTCAAATTATATAATACAATTATGGTAGGCTTCGCAAAAATAATAAAATTTGTTTATTACTAAAATTAACGTATACGCAAAAGTACGAGTATCTTTAGCATGCACGATCGTCAAGTGTCAACTGTCATCACGATCAACAGTCGGAAGCTAATTAATGACAATTTACAATTGACTTTATTTTTTAATGTACCTTAACATGTTGAACGAAGTTTAGTTTATGAGTTGCTGGTATATGCCCATAATTTATAAGCATTCAGCGCCATCTACAGTTTGTTGCCATTATCAATAAGATTTGGTATGCTTTGCGTACGCTTGTTTCAAAGTAAGTAGGACTTACGAACAAAACTTATGAATTTCTTTTAGTAAGTGTTTTGAAAAGCTTATTGGTATCATGTACCGGGTATCTTTCGTATATTCAGGCTCAGGGTATACGAAGCGGCTGGTATGGTGGGGAATTGGGGTGGCGATTCCACGGGGGATGAAACGCGAACTCGCGCCAGTTGAAGGCGAGACTTCGCCCACGCAACTTCAGTCTCTCATTCGACACGTTATTACTGACCTACCCCCTTAAGACTGTAAACGGTTTGGATAGATATAGGGCATCATAGAATCATCATTGGATAACCCGCACAGGTATACGGGACGAAAAGTGCGTCGAAAAATTAAATTCGAAAAAAGGGTGTCTCGTGTATCTGGAATTGTTTTTTGAACAAAATCAAAAGAACGCCGCGAATCAAACAAAAAACATCAAAAATTACGAAAATACTAATAAATAATATATATATTTTTTCGTTTAATTTTTAATCTCATCCCTTTTTTCCCCTAATTTTTTAAAACGACTTCTTCGTTTGAATAAAATACGTGACGGGTTGCCCAATCGTATACGGTGCTCGAGTTTTCTTACATGCAGGCCGGAAATGCCGACTGCCAACCGACGTTGCTTTCGGTCTCTCGTCATCTTACTTTCGCTTCTGCAAGGTAAGTCGCAAAGTGAATATTAGAAAAACTAAAAAATATATCCCTTAATTACCTCTAGATACTTTCCTGTATTTATGGCTTTTTTCTCTTAGTATATATATCCCCCCCCCCCCC